ATTTCAAGTTTTTTAATTGATTTCCATGAATTCAACTTAAAAGCATGTGTTATTGCTTCTTCTTTCCCAAATGAAATTCTAAATAAAGTGAGCCAGTTCCTCTTATTTTGCTTTTCTGTTAAATCAGCCACAACATAAACTATCATCTTTGGAGGTTTGTATTATAAGAAGAAGTAATTGCAGTTACAACTTATTTCAAACAAAGAAAGGAAAATTTATCATTCTGTAAGAAAAACAAGACAGCTTTCCCATTTTCTAATCACTTTTCATCGACATTCATCCAGAGATGGATTAGACAGCATGAGCCACATTAGTCTTTCAGATTCCCTGCTATATGCTCTGAATAACTTCATTCTAGTCCTGGAGTCATCAGTGTCATGGGGAGAGACCATTTGGGTCACGAAATATCCTTCAAGTTGACACTAGAGGCAATGAACACAGCGTGGAAATAGCTGGTTCCAGGGGAGTTATCTCAGAGTGCTCTGTAGAAAGCACTGAGTTCCTTCTCGGGTCATTCAGGGTAGCCATAAAATTTGGGTATTAAAAATAAATAAATAAACAGGCGAAGAAAAAGGAAACAAAGAAAGAAGAAAAAAAAAAAAAAAAAAAGGAGATGCAGCTTAGAAGCTTGCACATTTCATTGTGATAAAGACTCATTTGTCCCATATGTCAGATTTTACCCTATCTTGGGCATCCCTCCCTTCCCAACCCCTCGTTCAAAGCACTGTGCTCTGCCATCCTGGCACCAGCCAGGAACTGATAAACATTTTTCCCTTCCCCAGTGCCCAGAAGCTCCTGGGCTATGTCAAGCCAGAGTAATGGTTCTGTCTCACTGAGTTACTGGCAGAGCATGCTCTGCTGCTTTCAGCTCCTATCTTGGCCCATTTCTGGCTGTCACCAAGGCACCAAGCCCTGGCCCAGCACCAGGGCCTTTTTCAGGCAGATTACCCAACCTCTTTCATTTTTATTCTTTTCTGTGAGTAGCTCAGCTTTCCCCTGTCTGCTAGGGCTGCTAAGACCCCTCAGCGTGGCTGGGGGACAGTGCCACCTGAAGCATGATCCCAGAGGCATTTCTGTATATGACTGAGATGCAATTAAAAACACTTATATATGGAGGGAAAGAAAGAAAAGAAGCTTTTCCCAGGAGCCTGGTAATGATTCTCATGCCAAGAGGGGAAGACTTTCATTAGTCTGCCAGCATACTTGCCAGAGCTCAGCCTGGCTGATGGCACTTAACCTGCTTAGTTCATAGAATCATGCAATCATTAATGTTGGAAGAGACCTCTAAGATCATCAGGTCCAACCAGTATTGCCCACTAAACCATGTCCCTCAGTGGCACATCTCCACGTTTCTTGAGTTCTTCCAGGAACAGTGACTCCAGCACTTCACTGGGTAGCCTGTTCCAGTGCCTGACCTGAATCTTTTCAGATAAGATGTTTTCCCTAATATCCAAACTGAACCTCCCCTGGCACATCTCGAGGCCATTTCCTCTTATCCTGACTCATCTTACTTCTTACAAATGCAGCCTTTCTGTACTACTGCAGGGACATGGTCATGTACACTGCTCTAGGGGATTCTGGTGCATGGTAGGACTTGATGATCCTTATGGATCCCTTCCAACGTGCGATATTCTATGATTCTATGGTAGTGGATAGCTGATGCATCCCACCTTCACTCATGGCATTATGAGAAAATTCTCATTCATTTATGAGAAGTGAGAACTAAAGGCAAGCCTCCCCTCTCTATTTGGTGATCGCTTGAGATTCCACTTCATTTTCTTGCCTTCAGTTGGCTTTGAAATCAATAAACTTATCATCAGTCCATTACACTGATAAACCAGATAGGAACAACAGACCCAAGGACAGTCTGGCCCTGTCTCCTCTCCCCTTCAGGGTCAAAGTGACTTGGGAAAATTAAAGAACAGGGCAGTCATATAATGCAGCCTCAAGAAATCAACCTCATCCTCCAGTGATTAGTGCTGAAAGACCACAAGAAGCAGAATGCTGTCACTTCATTAAATCATTCAGGTTGGAAAGACCTCTAAGATCAAGTCCAACAGCTCTTGTGTTGGAAGAGATGATCACTACCATCAGTAGTCTGCTCCTACCATCAATAATGCCACGAAGTGTCATACCTCTAGCAGGTCCATCTTTAAAGGCTGAAAAGCCTGAAGTATCTATGACTCTTCTTCCTACAGAACATGCTCCACAACTTTGTTCATGTTTCACCCTCTTTGATTGCACTTTACCTTTTTTTTTGGTGGGGAAGAAGGTCTGTGGGGAAGTTCATGGAGTGCATATGATATAATCAAAGTGCTGAGTGAAGTTGTTTACTGTCACAATGATGTTTTCTCTTTCAGTCTCTTTTCCTTTCCTTATGATTTCTATCATTAATCTTTTCTTAATAATTACCAATGTTTAATGCCTTTTTTTTTAATCACTTCTGAGTCATTATTGCAACCCATATGTCTTATTCCTCAGTGACGTATCCGATCAGAAGTCAACGTTGTCAATCTGAACTCATGAGTTATTCATTGTTTTCCTATTTCAGTTCCATATATGGATTTACAGCTGCTCTGACTCCGTAGCTCATTCATTAGAAAGGCTCTGTGGTTTGCTAATTGCATTCAGTGTATATGATGAGATCTGGATGCAGTGTGAAGATTCACACTGTGAAGGAGAGGCTAAAGGTCAGGAGCATGGCAGGCATAGGGACTGTTAAAACAGAGTCTGGTTGGGAATAGAAGGACCTGATGCTGAAGGTGGATGTAAAAGTGCCATCAAAGAAAGGCTTTCATTTGAAAGAAAAAATGGAATTATTTATGAACTTTAGCATATGATCATTTGTGCTGCTCTCTTTTAAATAACACAGCAGTGGACGTCAGTAAGGCACTGAAACCATTATGGGAGAAAAAATCTTTTTCATTGAGAAGAGCAACTGTGGTGAAGGTTTTTATTCCTCATCTTTTGGAAAACTTACAGTTTCATTTCGGTTTTTGCTCCATTTGTGCTTTTGTCTTTACGTGCACCACCTCACTGCATCTTTTCATGGCAGACTAATGGTCTGCAGAAACACCACAGGTAAAAATTTCACCTCAGGAAGGCTTGAACATGTCTCATTATAACACTCACAGAGATGAAAAGGTTTCAGGTTTTACTAACTGTAGTTCTTACATGAGTTCCAAAATAAATAATGGAATTAGTCTACAGTTGTATCACCTTTCTGTCATATTGCTAGTAATCAGAATTGTACTATGTCATGGAATAAAGCAAGAATAACACAGGGCACACAGAGAACCTGTGTGTCACAAGGGTTAGTGCAAACCACAGCTGCAGAATTTAAAAACTGGTGTTTTGCATTCTTCTGAACAGTAATTTTCCAAAATTTGATTAAAAAGAAGCCCTCTCTTTCAAAGGTCTTATAAAAAGTTATATTTTCTCCCCTTGCATTAAAACAATGATCATTTCAGAATGTTTTCACATCCCATTGGAGAAAGGACTTCTCCCAGAGCCTATCACTTATAGAATCACAGAATCTTTAAGGCTGGAAAAAGTACTAAGACCATCAAGCCCAACCATCGACCCCTCCCCACCATGCCCACTAAACCGTGTCCCCACGTGCCCCATCTCCACATTTCTTCACCAGGAATGGTGATGCCACCACCTCCCAGGGCAGCCTGTTGCAATGCATTACCACACTTTCAGAGAAGATCCCTGCCAGGATGCAGGGGCAAATCCAAACACACCTTATATAATGGGTGAAAGTTTAGAAAAGGAGAAATTGTGGCTTGAGTGAGGTGACGAAAACACAACCCTGTTGTGATGAAGATGCAGTGTCTTTCTCATTGTCATTGCAAATCACAGGCCACCTAAAAGCTCTTAGGAAGGAACAAATTCAAAATCCAAATCAGGTGGATTAGTGTGTATCAAATGGGCATTTAGGTTTCAAATGGGGCATCACTCACATCACTTTGTAGCATCCTACAGTGTAATCATAGTCTATGTGTGGCTTTATCTCCTCTCATCATATTCTGGTAACATTATCATCCTGGACTGCATGTGATCTCCATGCATGTCTCCTCATCTTGTTCCCAGACTTCTTCCCTCCTTGTCACTCCCATGCATCTGCCTTTCCTCCCACCTCTTCTGCCAGTCTCCACTTTCTTGTTGGCAGATGGCTCAAAAGAGCTCTGTTCTCCTGCCACGGGTAGTGGAAGCGTTTTCTCACCCAGTATTGGAGTGTTTTGAGGGGATAATTAATAGTGAAAACCGTCACTCTTGGTGGAGGGTGCCAGTTTAGTGTAACGGCTCATTTAAAATCGTTGCATGGACTCCCCTTCAAGAGTTCACCCATTTTACAGGGTCTTACGTAGTTGCAAACCAGCAGAAACATTGAAAGGCATTCCCAGGACTGATATCCATGGTGGGACACTAGCATAGGAGGGGACTAATAACAGTCAATAAACCCTTGAAGGCTTTGTGTAGAGCTGACGGCAATGCTTTCAGCCTCAGAGCTGACATTACAGCCCATCTAACAGCATGAGTTCACTGGCAAAGTAGCCAGCATACTGCAGTTCCATTGCCCATAAATAGCTGTGCTACGTAATGTACGTAAAAGGCAGTCAGTGTACATTCAAAGAGACCTAAACATAATCTGCATTTTCACACAGGGATTTCCTGTAGAAATAGAAAATGATGTTAAATTCTTGAAATTGTTTTCAGTTTTCCAGTGGATTTGTGAATAGCAAAATCTTTGGATGAAAGCTGAAGTATCTAGGTACTGTGCTAGAGACAGCAAAAGAAAAAAGCTTTTTTCTTCCTGAAAATAGACACCAAGTGAAATTTTCACTGAAATCCCACATTATCTTGGATGAGAAAGATTTACTTTGGTGTAAGAGTAAGGAAGGTGAAAAAATAGCATTTGTTGCATCTAACATTTATCTAACCTTTATCTCTCTCTTATTTTTTTTTCTTTCTTTTACACTTTCCTCCTCTCGCAGCAAGAAAAACAGCAGACACCAAACAAGAGACCCTGGGAAGGAATCAGGAAAGTCCAGTCCCCACCGTCATGGGTTAAAAAGGACATCGAACCTGTGGCACAATCTCCCCTAGAACTAAAAACTGTAGAGTGGGAGAAAACAGGGGCCACCATCCCTCTGGTGGGACAAGACATTATTGACCTTCAGACGGAGGTCTGAGCGGAAGGGGAAGAAAGGGACTTTTTTTCCAGAAAACAAATGAAACAAACAAACAAAACCACGTTTTAAAGAAATGATTAAATTAAATCGGAACCGAGTGAGAGAAGTGTTTGGTTTCTTTTGAAACCTTTGGTAAGACGGAGTAACTTTTGTATTGTTCTCAGCAGAGTGGGGAAATATTGCTTTATAGAGTATAGTAGATGTAGGTTCAGGACAACACAAGCTTTGCCAGGTAGGACTGGAGAAGAAGTGAGCCTGGAAGAGAGCGAGGAGGAGGCAGAGGGTGGGGAGGAGCTGTTGGGGAAGAGCCCTGTCGAGATGCTTTGGGGCCACTGCCATACGCCAGGACCCTTCCTGCTGTGCCACGGAGAGCTGCAGAAGGACACCCAGAAACCACCACCATGAGCCAAGAAGATAGAGGTTGTCTGGGGAGCACAGGAGGTGATGTCGGCGGGAGCCTCACCGAGATGCGTTGTGGCTGTAGGTCCTGGAAGAGACACAACCTATGGCATCCCTTGCCGGTCCTCATTTCCCACCTCTCCCTCATCATCTCATCTGAGAAGGAAGGAGCTGGGATCTGTCAAGCGGTGGCTGAGGAAACGTCCCCACTTCTTCATGCTATCACATGATCTGGTGTCCTGGCATCTCTGCAGCATATCCCTAAGGGGGTCGGGGGGAAGTGGTGGCGAGAGTCACATCACCTATGGCTTAGAGGGAGAGGTAAGGTGGGGCTTTCTCCTCTCAGCCCTTCATGGTGGAGCTCCTGTGCACCCTAAGGGATGGGACAAGCACTGGAGAAAGGAACCACCTCCAAAATCTGCTCGCCCAGTCTCCAGGGAAAAGGTTGAAGGTGTTAGAAAAACAGACCAACAAGAAGAATGTAGGTCATTTCACTGACTGTTACATAGATAAACTCAGCACGGGCCTTGCAAAGGTCTGCTTGGCCTCATCCTTTTTTTTTTTTTTTTCCTGTTACTTTTCCTTCCTTTTGGACTCAGATTTGTTCCAAGCTGCTCCTCCCTGGAAGGCAGAGAGAGAAAGAGGGAAAGACAGATCCACCAATGTACCAGGAGATATTTGGTATACAGAGATGTTGCCTTAGGACATTGAGACAAACTGACAACACGAATAACGTCCACTTGGAAACAAACAAACAAACAAAAAAAATAATCTATTTTTTTCCTTCTTCTTTTCTTTTCTTCAATAAAAAGAGAACTTGAAACCCGAGAACTTTCCTTTCTTTGGCTCTTGTCCTTTTGAATGCCTTTCTGTGCCGTACGAATACACAGGCATGGGGTGAGGATGCCACCTACTGAAGGTGGAAGGCAAGTTGCTGAATGATAAGTTTGGGATGGTGGGAACACGCAGCCCCATTGCTGCTTACTTGCAATACTTCGCTTTGCTTTATTCACTTTCAGTTGTGATTATTTTCCCTTCATTGGCTCTTCTCCTTCCCCAGTGCCCAGAGCAAACGGGCAGGTTTATACTGCTACCAGAACAAAAAGGTGGAGCTGGTCAGTAGAGTGGGACATTTTTCATCATAAAATGTTTTTTATTTCAATGTTTAAAGAATAGCAATTTTCTTTTTCATTAGGCATTTCTCAGAGTTATTTACAAAAGGAGATAAAAGCTCTCTACATTTCACACCCAGAAGTGTTGTGCAATATTTTTAACCTTAAAAAACAAACCACTGACATTTCAAGAGGATTTTTATTTCTTTTATTTTTTCCTACCATTTCCAACAGTGTGATCCTTATGGCTCCCTTCCAACTTGGGATATTCTATGATTCTATGACATTTGGAACAACTATCCCGGCTTTGGAGACGTGCTGTGGCAAACTTCTGCTTGTGAGCAGCCGTATTGTTCCAGACAGCAGTAAAACTTGATCAGGGTCTGTGTTGTTACAGTGTGTTTGAGTTTCTCCTTTTTTTATTATTTAACATTTTTAGGGAAAATGAATGAATACAAGAGGTGAACCAATCACTGACCCCAGCCTTGCTTCTCTCATTGAGAGACATTGCTTGACATCCATATGTCTCTGCTTCCTCTTTCCATTGGGCCATGTGGGTTTTTGGTCTTAAAGGGCAGTGGCATCTACCTTGCCATTAAGTGTGTAACATACTGGATGAATGGAAAGAAAAACTAAAAAAAAAAAAACACAAATCCAAACATTTTAAAAATAAGGAAAATTATTACTTATAAAGACTGTGATATTATCATCCAATTTTAGATTATTCTATGAAACAGGAAAGCACAAAGGCCTCCCTCAGATGCCAAGTTGTATGATATTGTAATTATTATAGTTACACATAATGAATTTTAGCATACAGATATCTTTATACTGTGTTTTAAACCTTTTTTTTTCTTTTTTTTTTTTTTCCTATCCTCCCATGCCCAACCAAACCTCCCCTTTTGTCCCCAGACCTTTCCCACTCACCCATTCACTCCAGCCGATTTGCAGGACATTAACGGTGTTATGTAATTACAGAGATAAATGTTTGTTTAATAACTGTTGATATTCGACTTTCTCTGCTCAATTCCTCCAGTTAATTCTGTTTTCCCTCGCCCTGCCCTGCCCCATTCCATGCCTTCCCTTCCCTCCTATGCTTGTCAGGTTTTTTTTTTCTGTACAGTTTTCAGAGCACAAAATGATTGTGTCTTATTTCTAATAAAAGAGGTGTAAACTCTAGCAATGTCTGCTTCTTAAAAGTGCCCCACATGTGGTTTGCATCACACTCAGGTGCAAGGAAACACCTCTCCTGGACCTGCAAGCTGCTGCACTGGAAGAGCTATAATCTAGGACCAAACTTCTCCCTCTCAGATCCATTATTTGCCTTTAGCTTGTAGCTTCTTGGTACTCTAAAACCACCTTCCATCATTATGCATATTTCCAAGGCATGAAGACTTTTCTGTGCACCCCAGTCTGATTTTCCATGAGTATCTCTAAAAAAAGCCTTGCTGCCCTCTTCCCAGTGTATGTCTAAAGGGGCTGAAATGTATTACATTAGGCAGGATTATTTTCTGAGCAACCTGATCTAGCTGTAATTGTCCCTGTTCATTGCAGGGGAGTTGGACTAGGTGACCTTTAAGGGTCCTTTGGAACTTAAACAATTCTATGAGGCTATGAATGGCAGAAGGCAGCAATGCTGGCTTTCAGTTTCCATTGGGGCCAGGGGGATGCTGATGCTCCCCTGCCCACATGATGCAGAGCCAAACCCCAGTCTCACCCCGATGTCCCTTCCACCTCCATCACTTCCAGGAGCATGGTTCAGTGCATGAAGTAGTTGAGCAAATCACTTCTGAAAGATAACAATTAATGAGTTGAGCTAGAGATATTAAATTCCTTAGCATTTACCCTTGAATGGCTGAAATCCTCCAGTAGAAACATATTTGCTAGACTCTGCTCCTTCACCCAGAGGTTTACAGGTATAGGCTATAGGAATAGTCCTTTTAGTTTTATGGATAGGTCTGCAGGAGGCTTGGGGGTCAGCCAAATTTGATCCAACATTGCTGCTCTCCAGGACTTTGGTCCAGAGCCATCACAGCTCAGCATGTCCCCAGAAGTAATGACTACTCTTGATCTCACTGGAACTAATTGGACCTCAGACCAATTCTCTGTGATGCATCCCTGCTGTGACACCTGCAGGTAGGAGCAGATGACAGCATATGGTGCTTGGCATAACCCATCTCAACAATTGGTGTGTTCAGTCAAAATAAGAGGAGTCTGTGGCTAGATAGGCTAAAACCTTTTAGTTTATACCAGCCCATGAGGGAAACCTGTTATTATTACTGTCCCTGTTCATTGTAGGGGAGTTTAACTACATGACCTTTAAAGGTCCCTTCCAAATGAAACATTTCTGTGATTCTATGATGCTGTTACTGCTATAGGGAAATCTGTCATGCTAACTCTCCAAGTGGAGGAGCTCATCCTCTGGAGACCGTAAGTCTCCAATTGGAGCCTTAGAGGCCCACTGTGAGATATCCTGAAATGTCTGAAATGTTGCTGAGATGTAGGTCTGCCTTGAGGGAATTATCCTAATCCCCCATCTCCTGAGCCATGATCCAGCTCATCTTCATCAGCAGCATGTGATAGCATATCCTAAGTCTTCTCCATCCTTCCTGCCAGGAGTGTTCCTAGCCCCACATTTCCCATACCATCAATGTATAAAGTTAGCAGGCAGATTAGGGAAATACTAACCAAAGACACACTAAGGAGTCTTCATAGGATCCATATGGATGACTTCTCCTGGTGTTTGCTTTCTTGCTCAGAACTACTTTCATTCATGGTTATCCAAAAAGCCTTCTACGTATCTGAGTCTCAAAAATCCATCTTGCTTGCAAGCCCCATATGTAGACCAATTTCCTACCAAGTTCTGGAGATAACTTATGAGTCGGATTTGGTAATCCCTATGGGCCTCTTCCAGCTTGGGATGTTCTATGATTGTATGACTCTGTGATGACATGGAAGAAAAATACAGTTCCTAAGCTGAGGCCATGAAGAACTTCATGTTGGATGGACAAAATAATTCTTTCTGGTCTTCCTTTAGGACACAGTGAAATAGCATCAACTCACTGCTGACAGTATGCATGTAATGTTTTAGTAATGAACATCACTCATTACTCTGGCTCGTTAGCAAGATGAGTACCTATTACATCTGTAATACCAAGAAAGAGACCCAGGGGAATGAAGTAGTCAGCCTTAAGTCACTCATCAGCCTCTTTACTAATCCTCTCAAGAGAAGTCAACCATGCAAACTGAGCTCCCTTCCCTCACTTCTTATTTGAAAATCAGCATCTCTTGGCTCCTGCTGAGTATGTACAATCTCCTTTATTAGGGCTGAATCCTCACTACCACCACTTCCCACTGATTCTAAAAGCCCTTAAAGTAAAAGGCCAAATTTGTAGAAATTTGAAGTAAATAACATGGCAAGCACAAGTTTTCTACTATGTAAATATGTAACTACTGGCAGCAGCAGTTGGGCAGTGTTAAACACTTGTTTATTGCAGGACATCATCAAGGTATTTGGTTAATTAATCAAGATCTCTGAAAAAATTAAGGTGCAGGCCTGAACATCGAAGTCAATGCAGAAGAGGGGCTGAATTCCTTTTTCAGTGTGTCCTGAGCAGAGACAGCAGTGACAGGCATTTTTCTGGTTGGTACCAGGAATGCTTTAACACTTTGCACCTGCCCGAGTGTGTAAGTATATCTCTGCAATGAGAGTCACTGCCATGAACCACACAGTGGTCAAGGAGAAATATGTCATAAGTGGTACAAAGTGACAGTCTAACCCTAAACCTCTTACAAATGCACACCATATGCATGCAGATGTGTTCATATGCATTTCCATATATTAATTTCCATAGATACATTTTTGCACATACATTTCATACATACCCACAAATGCATGTCCCTCTATTTCATACACATAATCAAACATACATGTAAATATGCACATCTGTTGCAATACATTGAGGCAGGTTAAATACAGTGAATTTATGCAGCCAAACTGACATTAGAAAGATGTTCAGCATCTAAGACATACTTGAAAAATGTGCTGACAGAACTCTGGATGGAGAACAGGAATTAAGCAGGAAACAACAATTAGCTAGGGGAGCATTTTTTATATGTCTATTTGCAATGCTTTTTATTGTTGTTGATGATGATTCATTTATTTATTCATTTATTTTGTTAATTGATGTAATCTGTTTTTCCTCTCTTCTGTTTATGATGAGGAAACTGATTTTTTCAACCAACAAGATCAAGTTCAATCAAGTTCAGCTTCAGCAAAAGCATGAGTGATTTTTTTACCTGATCCTACAGGGCTGGCTCATTTTTGCCTCCTGCAGGTGACTGCGACTGTGAATGAGCCGTTTAATTATAAACCCTGCAATTTGCTGCCCTCCTGCAGAGACTGTGACCAGCGTGAAAAGAAAAGAGCTCAGCTTACAGAGGTAAAAACCAAGTTTACATACGTATTTGGGGCAGCACCTCAGGATAAAGCATGAGTTTTGCTGCAGAGCAGACACTAAAAGGAAATCTCTGAGACAGATGCTTCACTTCCAGTGTTGTCACAAGTTTTCTCACATCATTTTGTATAAATGCACTCGTTTTTCTACAGTTCACCTTCCTCAGTGTGCTAAGCA